ATGATGATGCGCGATTGGCCCAGACGTTGGAAGAGGAGGGCTTTAATGAGTCTAAACCTGAATAATTGTAATAAAGAGGCTCAATGGAAAAAGTTGTACAGAAATGGTAATAGTTTTCGCGTTCCTGACGTTGTGGATCTTGAAAGTTCTGATAATGAGACTCAACAGAAAAACTTCCTCAAGAACAACAAGAATAGACTTCTTGAAGTGGATGATGAAATGGTGGATATGGATTATATGATGTTTTTGAATAGTATCATAGGACTATTTTCTTGTAGTAATCAGGCTGATGGTGTGGTTGGCGGTGGGGATAATGATGATAGAAATGACCATGACATAAATGATAATGAGGTGGATCCTGATTATAAGATATTCATGGAGAAATTAAGAAAAGATGGAAACTCATATGTGGTTGAATTTGATTTGAGTAATGGGGTGGTAGTGCTTATTAAGTATGAAATAGAAGATGTTTCATGCATTGGACATGGATTAGAAGAAACTGTAACTGCAGCAGACAGTCGAAAGGAAGAGAATGTAGCGACTACTAGGGTTCTGAGAAGTGCTTCAAAGCTATTAAAGATGGATGGTCGAATAGAATTAGATGATGTTTTGAGTAAAGGAAAAACTAAGAGGCGAAGAACATTTAGGAGCACTTCGAGAGGAGACAGGGTCAGAACTGAAAGAATGAGTCCAGTGGCTGAGAAGAAATTTCAGGTGGAAGCTAGAGAACCCATTTCTTGCCCAACAACTCAATGTTCAGGCAAAACAACAAGTCTGGATATTCATCAAACAGCTAACAAGAAATGCAAATATGAAATGGACTGTAATATTGTAGATGAAAGCTATAAAGAGTTCCTCAATTGCTTGAATAATTTGCGCAAAGAAAATATGGACAGCCCAGGTAATTTGAGGAATATTTCCAGGAGAGATAGGGCCAGAACTCAAAGAATGAGTCTAGTAGCTGAGAAAAATGTTGAGCTGGAAGCTGAAGAACCTGTTTCTTGCTTAACCATTCAACATGTTACGCAAAGACCAGGACAAGATATTCTTCAAACAGTTGAGCAGAAATGCAAATATGAAACAAACTGTTATAGTTTAGATGAATGCTATCAAGACTTTGCAAATTGCTTGAAGAATGATTTGAGCAAAGGAAACATTGAGAGCCCTAGATCTTTGAAAAGCATTTGGAGGAGCAACAAGATTACAACTGAAAGAAAGAGTTCAGTAACTAAGAAGAATGTTAAGCTGGAAATTGATGCGCCTGTTATTAACTACAGTGAGATAGATGAATGCTATCAGAAGTCCCTGAATGGTGAAAATCCTTTATTTACCCCAGAAAAAACAAAAAATGAGAAGGATAAGGAGAATTTATCTGATTCAGATATAATTGCAGTGGACAATTATCCATTTTCTGATGGAAAGGACAACCCATTTGTGCCTTCAAAGTCATATCATCCACTTGAACTTGTATGTGTCTTTTGCTCGTCCCGTTTTTGGCCTTTTTTTTTTATATATATGTATATATATATATATATATATATATATAGTTCAGCTTCCTCAATTTCTTACCTTTAATTTCATGGGCTGTAATGTGAAGAATAAACGAAGACATATGGGAACCCAGTTCTACTCTTTTTCAAACCAGTCGTTCGTCATTCAGGGAGAAGCTTATTGATTGTCTGAAAAAGCCTTTCAGCAAAAAAGAATACGATGAGCTTTTGTTAAAAGTTAACGACCGCAAGCCAATGGAGCGCGAGAGATGTTTTCGAAATGGGACCACAAGGCCGTATATTTCAGAGGTTTGTGGAAAATCATATCTTGATTACTGCGGAGGTGAGTTGACTAACGTATGCAGGCTTTCCTTAAGTCATTTTCCATATTGATTATGCTTTTTTCTTTGTGCTTTGCCATTTGATTGATCTGCTGCTTCTCATTTTTTCCTCCCAAAGAAAACATTTCTGCTTCTTGCTAATTAGTTACATGATAATCTTGCTGATGTGGATGATGAACTACCAGCTTTACGAACAAGTATGCAACTAGCCTTGAAATTTTCTTTTAAAACAAATAGTGGAATTTCCTTGAAGAGCATTAGGGGGGAGTCATCCGATACTTCAAGACCTTAAATCTTTTGCCTAGTTGAGACCCTTGAAGAAAGGAGCTAAGGTTGAGTTTGGTTCGAATTTTAATTCTATGTAATAAGAATGAAAATATAATAAAAGTAAGATAAAATTTTGAATAAAAATAACATTTTAATACGTAATCAATTCCTTGTACAAGTCAAATTAGGTGCTCTAAATCATCTCCGAATAAGTGGGAATATGAAATTCATCAATGTGGAATTAAAGATATTAATAAATTTGATTCAATTATACTTAAAAAATGTAAGTAATGATTATTTTTACATATAAGATTATTACGATTTTAGGATTTAATGAGAATAAAATAGGTATGAGCCAAAATTCAACTTAAGAGTTTAGAGCTAAACATCACGAGCTCTATCAAAAGAATAGTAGGTGTCCTTAAAAATGCATTTATTTTTTTTGATGTAGGATAAATCGAATTGATTTATTTAATTAGAGGTTTGGGGATAAAAAAACCTTGAAATCATACCTAGAATTTCTTAGACATTATATTTGTCATAAGCATCACGCCTAAAGGTTTGTCCATATCATGTAATCAGAAAATTGATAAACTCTCAAAATACTGTTGAATACTCGGATGTTGTAATAAGTAAAATTACAAAACTATTTATAATGTTTCCTAGATAACCTTTTATGAATAGAATTAAACTAAGAATTAGCAAACTAATGGAATTAGGAATGTTAATCTTAATAAAATAAAAAATATAATAAAATGAGAAATACACTAATAAGAATAAAATTCTAAATTACTAAAATTAAAATAATATTTCTCAATGATATAGATTTCTAAATAGTATCGTAGTTTTACATCATTATAATTTTTAAACTATTTAATAATTCTAATGCTAGCCCATTCTGCATCGTTCTCCCTTGGTTGTAGAAAGCTCATCCACTGAGTTGTGCAATGGAAAATGATGTATAAAGTCTTGACCTTTGAGCTTGCCAATACCTAAAACAATAGATATGCACAATTGTTTCGGAGTATTAAATCTTAGTGGAAGGATGAAATCAATATGTTGACTATAACATGAACAAGCAACAAAGTAGACCTCTCTCCTCTCTCCTCTCTCCTCTGTGCATTGGTCCGATAACCCTAATAGACAACCCTAAACTTCTCTTCCATCGTTCGACTCTATCTCTCTTCGATACACAAGGTTAGGGTTTCGCGCCTCGTGTCTGGTCGACCATCGGGCCGACCAATCTCTTCGATAGTCGATGTCTTCTAAACCAAACAGACGATTTTTTTCTCATCGACCGAAAGTCTTTTGATGTGATAAGAAACGGGGAACGGTTTGATGGCCTCAGAATTTGCTAAAACAGCTGAGATGTTAAGAGTCACAATTTCTATGAACAAAAAAGAGGTAAACTGGCTAATTGATTCCTTTAGTGATTTCTACTAGCTTTAAAGGGGGGGCCACTGGGGGAAAGAAGATCGTGGGGAACACACGTACAATATACTTGGTACTTTCAAGAAACCAAAATAGAAGAGTACTGGTGCTGTCGGAGCAAAAAAGCAAATTTTACAAACGAGTGTTCATCCCAGAAGGGTATTAGGTGGGAGGATGGTGGCGACTTATAAAAGTTGTGCTTGAACTAACTGACACCCCGCTGGTCCAACCGAAGAAACACGGATCGGACTGCTTCAAATCCCCTTGAGTTAGGCTTCTTACCAAAGAGCACATATGTGATATGTTGTCCTCATTATTTACAAGATTTCTGCATTGAAACGATGACAAGCAGAAAAAGATCCTTTGGAAAAATTGTTCAAACAAAGAAGCCCTTCCATGGCCGAGTGGAGACCCGACCCAGTTGACTAAATTTGAAAATCAAAAGGGAAGGCGGGAAATCTTTCCTCAAAGCCCAATGTTGGAGGCCCAAACTCAGTTCCCTCCTAGAAGTCCAAATTTTCCAGAGAAGAAAAGGAGAAATGGACTGCGAACTCTGGCCCATACAAGGAAAGCAGGAAAAAAAGAAGCCCTAAAGTTTTATGGTTGTGGAGGCCCAAAAAGGAGATTTTTCCGAAAAAACTCCCCAAACCCGGGTTTGACGGGAGAAAAGATGATGCCAGCTGCTCTTATTCTCTTAAAAGGAATGAAATTCTAAAATATAAGGAGAAGGATGAAATGGAAGATAAAGAGAGACGAATAAGTTGTTGGTTGTTCGGTTTGCCCTAAGACCGATAATCAAATTGAAAAAGTGGGTGTCAGAGAACTAGACGATTCTGACCCTCCCTCCCTTGAGAATGTTTCGTTGGATTTTGTTTCCTCTGTTATGGAAGAACTACTTATTGAAATTGCATCCTCAAAGGAGGAACAAAAAGCACCTTCAGAAGGTATGGCTTCCTCTTCCACCGGCCTTAAAATTACTATTATACCTGAGACAGGTCTGGATAACAGCCTAAGAGCTATTAGTGTTGAGCAACCCAAATGGGTTCTTGAACAAATGTACTCGGAGTGGGTTGTCAGGAACATACAACAAATCAGTGCGGAACTCGGGATCTCACTGCAGGGTTTGGAACATCATGCATTCTTCCTGTTTTCAGAACTTTGAAAGAGACTGAATGAAGCAAAGTTGAACGATGAAAGTCTTAGTACTACAAAGAAGAAAAAGGAAGCTGGCTCAAGAGAATTAAGGCGTCTGTACTCATCAATTAATTATGACGGAAGACGTAAGAAGAAGCTGGATCTAGGGGAAAAGCAAAAAATTGTCAATGATAGGGAAAATCATTTCATGGCATGTGCGAGAATTAAAGGACAGTGAAAAAAAGAGTGTGATAAAAGGATGTCTTAATCGGTGGAAGCCGAATATTGTTTGTCTTTAGGAAACTAAAATAGAGAATATGAATGATTCGCTAGTCAAGAGCATTTGAGGCATCAAAGACATTGGGTGGGTTCATCTTCAGGCTTCGGGCGCTGCAGGAGGCATTTTATTAATGTAGAATCAAGAAATTATAAACTCAAATCGCTGTAAAATGCTATTAAACAATGGACTAAGGAGGTGGGAATCAAAGATGAATTGGCAATCAATGGCATGATGAATGAATTCAACTTGTTAGAGCAACAAGAAGGCCTTTCTGTGCTTAATAATTCTGATGTGACAAAAGGAACTAGTTGAGAAATGAGCTGGCCAAAAAACTTCAACGGGAAGCAGTCTCTTGGAAGCAAAAATCAAGATAACAATGGATTAAAGGTGACAAGACTACAAGATTTTTTCATTATCTTGCTAATCAAAAAAGAAGAAATAATTATGTTGAAGAGATGAAGTTGAAGGAGAGGTGACCTTCGGTAATGAGAAGTTGAGAGAAGCTGCCAAAGTATATTTCCAACAACTTTACACTGAGGAATTTCCAATCAGACCAAAGCTAGATAATTTGCACTTTGACACTCTTGGCAATGCCCGCAGAGAACTACTTGAACAGGATTTTTCTGAGGATGAAATTGTTGTTGCACTAAAAAGCATAAAGATAAATCCCCTGGACCTGATGACTTCAATCTCAGATTTATCTAAACTTTTTGGTCTATTATCAAAGATGATATACATGATCTTTTTAGAGAATTTCATCATAATGGTGAGTTTATTAAATCCCTAAACTCAACATTTATTGTACTCATTCCAAAGAAAGACGAAGCTGAAAGTTTCAAGGATCTAAAATGGTGCTCGTCCTCAAGAGAGAATTTCACCCGCTGCTACAGTTACTGATTCTGGCAATGCTAGAATTTCAGAATTTTCTGTATCACTGGATCAATCTTCCAACTCTAAGCATTCCAACTTTTTACAGCAGTGGTCCAGTTCAAATTTTTCATCGGAATTAAAACACAATCCTTGCACCTGCCAATGATCAATCTCCTGAATGGACAGCCTCTTCACTGCAGTGGCATGGGCTATGGAGGACATCCAGAACCAAAACGTGGTGGTGGCTGTGATGTGTGTTCAGGAACAGGCGCATCAGAGTAAAAACATCTAAAAGATGCCTCAAACGTGTATGTTCTATGTTCATATTTTTTCTGAACTCATGGCAGTGTGTTAAATTGTCGAGATGACCAAGACTGGGAAATCCAGTTTTCTAAAATGTGGCAAAGAAGGACGCTCATGCCCTGCACCAGGCTGTGGATGCACATGCATTTGCACTATTGCATAGAGCATTATACCAATGCAGCCTAAAATAAAACGGTTAAATTGCAATTACGATCTCTTTAGTTGTTACCTTCCATCATCTTCTGTCAACTGCAAACCTAAAAGCCTCTTGTGAATCGTGCTAAACCTGACATATTCCTATTAGTGGTTTTGGAAATGATTTCAAATAAGATATCAACTCTTTTGATTTTCATTTTTGATGGCAGATTTCTTTCAATGTGGCCTCTGCTAGACTTTTTCCATATGCTTTTCTCCTGTAGCCTTCGAGTTCAGACTTTTTGCAGTTCATTTTCATGGAATCCTGTTAAAATTACAAAACTCTGCATTTGTATTTGCAGATCTTGCAGAAATGATTAAGTTACATGCAATGGATCGCCCAAAAGTATTGAACCTATTGCGAGGATTTTTCTATTGGTTGACTGTAAGTGGTTTATTTCATGCTTCTTTGTCTTTGCTTTGGTATCCTGCCCTGCACTTCTTTGAGGTATCATAAAGTCGTAGGAAGTAGAACTGTTCATTTACATTTACTTCTTGAGGTATTTGGAAAAATTTTGGTTTATAGAGTTTTGGCATTCTCTTTGTATTTCACTTGCAAAAACTTAACAACAAAGGAGTTCCATGTCATTTTTAACAAAAATTGATCCTGAACTTATTTGATGATGATTATTCCTAATCTCTGAAGAAGTTAATGGAGATTGAGAAATAACCTACCATTTCTTTCTTATCATAACAGTGAAATATGCTGTTTGAAAGTCTAATTATGATGAACTAAACTTGTGAGTATTATGGCATTGTTTATCAAGTTACTTGTGAGTTTGGTATAATAAGATGCTGCGTCTTTAATCTCCATACTACACAGAGATGTTAAATTCAATTTTTTTTTTTTAAAATTCAGCTAAAAAATGAATAAAACAGGGAAACCAGCACATAGTTTATCATGTTTCTTATGGTGCTTTCTTTACTACATGTGAAGAAGCTTGTTTTTCCAGTGTAATTGTATCTTTATACATGAATGCATATCAATTTTTTATTTGTAGAAAAAAATCACGTGGTAACACTTGCTTCCTAAAATTTTGGGTTTCTTTGTCAGAATGTGGCCCATGAAGGAGCATTTCGACCATGGTTGGATTCGGCATGTTTGGAGGTGATGCCAGAAGTTCTGCCGGATGATTTGTCTGTGATAACATAGATCTCTGGATACCATAGATCTCTTGATGCAAATGGAACACGTGTCTAGTAATGGCAAATGACCAGAAAATTTGGAACTTCAGGATTGTCCTTTTTTTGTGAAGCCCTAGGCTTGGATTGGTGTATGACACAATAGCTCTGCAGGGCAAACTGTCTCAAAATGTGGTTATTTTCACATGCTACAAGCCGATGTATTAATTTGCGGTTACATTTTGATGTAATCACTCTACATCTTGAAGCTGGTCGGCAGTGCTGTTAAATAGAACACGTGGCTTCCCCATGCTGAAATTGAGTACTTTGGCATTCATGTTGTATTTGATTTCACCGTCATATAATAACTTCCTTATATAGTGTTCTATATCGGAACCAATGAGACGAAGTGTGTATTCCGTCAGCGGAGCACCCTGTTCATTGCAAGTTATTAGTTCTCATAAGGATCAGTACGTGCTTCCTCTCCATGAACTAAAGAAATGACGCATGGGTGGGGAAGAGGAAGCATAATAATGCTGCTTATAACTTTGAATCTCCAGAGAGATCTGGAAATTTAGGCATTGCCAATTCTAACCTTTGCACAGTGGACTAGTCAGGTTGTTTTATGGGAATGGAGTTGTTTTTCACATAACGTAACTATGAAAGTCCAATGCTTCCATCTTTAATTGTTAGTTCCGACCCAATAAGAGCCTATATCATGTTTGCCATGCGAAGGGGGAAAAAAAGGAACTTTTGCATCCTGGCCTACCTAACCTATAGTTGCCTGCTGTAGTACCTATTATTCTAGCCAAAGCCAGTTGACATTCTAGGCAAGCTGATGATGACATGGTGAAAATGAAGAATTCAAAATAAATATGATGCTAAAGATGGAAGAATCGAAGTCGATATGTATCAAAGGAGGAAGATTTTCAACTTTAAGATAATTTTCCTGCAAACTTGAAGTGCTAGGATTGAAGGAATTACCTCATAGTGATCCACCAGCTCCTGGAAATATGAATAGACCTTGTTGCAAGTTTCAGAAGTCCACACAAACTCATCTGTAGGGTCAAGTATAAGGGTGAGTTTATCCATCTGGGTCTGATCAAATTCAGAGGTCTCTGGATCAATATAGGCAGCAAAGATTCTGACGTGCCGGGTGACACTACTCAGCCACTGACCGCCATATTCTCTGGTCATGTTTTTGCTCTTAACATTCAGCTGTGGTTCAACAGGTCTCGGCTGTTTGGCCTGTTGCCTCACTGTCTCTTGCTGCTCTTCAAACTTTCTCTGCTGTCCTTCTTGGACCTCAGCTTGCTGCTGAGCTGAAACAGAGACTACCCTTCTCTTTCTTAGTCCTCTTCTTTTTCCTTCAAGACAACCCATCATAGCAAACTTCGTACAGGTCATGTAAGAGGTTGCCATTGCCTTTTTGGTGGTTCAAATTTCTCAACTTCTCAATATAGTTGCAATTCCGGTTGAGTCCTACCTGGTTTGGAAATTTTAGTAGGAAACCACGAGAATTGGATCCATTCATTTCATTTGTATGGATAAGATTTGTTGTTTTATTAGATAACCATTATGTGCGGTGAAGAGAAAAGAGAAGTTTCAAAGTTCTTTTGGGTTGCAATAAAGATGGATGCCTCGGGCCATACGATTTTTCCTCAACCATTCAAAATATTCAATAACGTAACATTTAATCCCTTCATGACCCATATCATGCAACCTTTGGACTTTAGAAACGACCGTAAAGATCAATAGATTAAAATATTTAAATTATATTTAATATAAAATTATCTATAAAATTTATTAAAAAATCTACATATAATTAAATTATAAAATGGTGTAAATTTATTTTAAATTAACCTATAAAATTATCCACACTACCAATTTTTAATTTTTTTTTTTTTTAAGGAATTTGCTCTCCTTGTAGGTAATGAACTTCTAAATACGCAACAGTGAAAAAATGGATCCCACCCAACATAAGACTCTTCCATCCTCGGCGGGGAAAAAGAATAGCTTATAGGTAGCTTACAATTGTAAGCAGTCACATATTTGGTACTACAAGTTTATTTAAAATAACAACAACAATAATAATAATCAAAGACGTGAAAGTTGGCAAGTGCAAGTGTCTCGTACTCGGACAATATAGACAAAAGAATCCAAGCACCTAACCCACTCGTGAGACCTTCCAACGCTCAATATAAGAGTTTAGGTTCAAATACATTTCAGTTCTCAATAAGAGAGCTTGGTCAATATAAGAGTTTAGGTTAAATACCTGCCAGTTCTCAATAAGAGAGCTTTGGCAGATATTACTGATGTAATTTTTACCTTGATCACATAAGGTAATTTTTTTACCTTGATCACACAAAAGAAAGAACAGAAGAGTAGAGTAGCACACACATATCGAGGATTCAACACATTCTGTAATTCGAGCCATTTGAAACTTCCATATCATTTCTGAAATGTATCATGTTTCATGTACAAGAGACAACTTCGTATACCTACAAATCACAACAACCTATCTATATAAGGTTGACAACCTATACAGATACCTACCTACATAGTATAAGAGTGCAAAAGGGACCCGAAAAAAAGACTATGCTCTATTTGGAGAAGATAACAACCTATCTATATACCAGAAAAGATAACAAAATCATCCTGCAAAAGAAGAAAACAGATGATGCATTATAATCAATCTTTGCTGAAGTGCAACAAAAATATGAATTCCGCCATAGAATAGCTAAAAGCATGCTTCACCCGTTTGTCTGGCCAGTCGGAAGGTGTCATGATACGAACTGGTTTGATTAGCTCATCAAGATCATCAAATTGGAAATCTGAGAGATCTCCCTCGCCAAAGGTGGTCTTCTCATTCCCTAGGTCATTGCTTTCTCCAGCTTCTCCATCACTAACTTCTCCATCAGTATCGTCAAGCCCAATGTAATCAGTCAATTTCCCTCCAAAAATTGCATTTTCCTCTTGCATAGAATGCCTCTCAAGCACCACTGACCCAGGCTCAGTAATTTCAACATGTAACGAACCAAAATATCTGCCTCGAGCATTTTTCTGTGCACATGATCGTTTTCTTTTCCTTCCCTTGCTTCGGTTTTTGGGGTGGTGAAGCTTGCATTTGGATCCCTGTGGACAGGACCCTGTTGCCTCAAAAGCAGGGCAAACATAGCTGTGTTTCTTCCGACACTGTGAGCAGAGATATATTCCATTTTACTCATCCAAAACTGCTGGCGACCGCGTGTCCACGGGGAGGGGAATATTGCGTTTACTATTTCATTATTACCGAAAGCAGCAGGGAACCTCACCCCGTAGGTGTCAAAAAGCAAATCGG